GGGCAGGCCAATTTCCTCTGGGTAATCAGGGTCAGTCACCCCGGCCAGTACCAAAATGTTATTCTTTGCCTCATGATTCAGAGGCATAAGGTGACCAAAGTGCTGGGGGACAGGCTTAACTTGCAAATCGATAGAATTACACTGTCTCCTGGTTCAAAGCCCAACTCCCCAGGAAATAAGAACTCTGAATCAGCAGAGCACAAAGTCACATCGACATGCAACCAAAATTCTACTAGTGGATCACTGGGAATCCACTAGTGGATCCCTATTCTACTAGGGAATAGCAGTAATGTGAGGGGTGCCACTCCCACTTCCACCCTTGATTACACACATCATTACAACACTGTCTTCTACCCATGGCGTGGAATGTCCTCCCAGTTATTTACGGTATGTCTACTTTAATTTCTTCCAGCATTATTGTGTCATTTTCAGAGTACAAGTCTTTTGCCTCATTGGTTAAGCTTATTCCTAAGAATTTTTTTTTGGTGCTACTGTAAACAAAATCATTTTCTTAATTTCTTTTTTTATTTCTTCATTGTTAGTGTACAGAAATATGAATAATTTTTCCATTTTGATCTTGTATCCTGCAACTGTGCTGAATCAATAATTAGCTGTCATACATTTACACGTTTGTGTGTACATGCTGCACGTATGATCTTTAGAAGTTCTTACATATAAGAGCATGTCATCGGCAAACACAAATGATTTTACTTTCTCCTTTCCAATGTAGGTGACTTTTAATTTCTTTTTTCTGTTCTTTTCTTTTTTCCCTGTTTTGGCTAGGACTGCCAATACTATGTTGACCAGAAATGGCAAAAGCATTCTTTTCTCATTCCCAGTCTTAAGGGAAAAGTTGTCACACTTTTACCATGAGTCTGAGGACAGATGTGGGTTCTTCATACATGGCTCTTATTGAGGAAATGTGCTTGTATTCCCACTTTGTTGAGGTTCTTTTTTGTCATAAAAGGGTGTTGATTTTTTTCAAATGCTTTTCCTCATCAATGCATATGAGCACGCACTTCCGCCCACCATCGTTACTGGGGAGTGTTACATCGGTCACTGTCCGTATGTTGGACCATCCTGGGACTCCAACGATCAGTCCCATTTGGTTATGGTGTGTGATCCCTTTCCTGGGCTACTAAATGTGGTTTGCTAGCTTTTTTGAGAATAAAAATATGAATGAATATTCATAAAGGGTGTTGGTCTGTAGCTTTCTTTTTTCATATTGTCTTTGTTAGACTTTGGTATAAGGGCAATACTAGCTCCATAGAATTGAAAGGGTTTCCCCCGCTTTAGTTTTTGGAAGCACTTGAGAAGGATTTGTGTTAACTACTTTCATGTATTTGATAGAATTCAACAGTGAAGTCATGTGGTCCAGAGCTTTTCTTTGTTGGAAAGCTTTTGATTACTAATTCAATCCTCTTACTAATTATGGGAATATTCAATTTTCTGTTTCTTTTTTTTTCTATCATTATTTTAATTTTATTTGCCTGATTATTAATAAATTAGAGCATCTGTTCATAGGCATGTCAATTTTCTGTTTCTTTATGATTCCACTTTGGTAAGCTGTGTGTCTAGGAATTTGTCCATTTCCGGTATGGCCTTTTGTTATGGCAGCCCCAGCAAACTAACAAGGTTTTAAGGACCTTCTAACATTTACAAATTAAGAAATGTCTTCTCATTCTGTGAATTATATATTAGAAATGAGTAGTTTAAAATTTCTTTCCTGTGGCAAAAAAACCCACACAAAACACAAAATTCACCTGCCAACAATTTCACATGTACGTCACTGTGCTGCCGACCACCTCCACAAGGTGTGGGCAACATGCTCTCAGAACCACGCCATACCCTGAACGACTAAAACCCTACCCCACACTGAACACTCCCCACTGCCTCTGCCCCAGCTCTTCGAAGCCAATGTTCTACTTTGTTTAACTGCTTTTGATACCTCGTCTAAGTAGAATCACACAGTATTCGTCCTTCTGCGGATGGCTGATTTCACTTATCAGGTATATGTCTATTGCAACATATGACAAGATTTCCTTCCTTTTTAAGGCGGAATAATAGTTAATTGTGTTTGTGTGTCTACATATGCTTTTATACATATATACACACACATTTCCTTACACACGTATACATAGATTTTCTTACACACATGTATGTACACACATTTCCTTTTGTAGCATTGTTCTTTATCCTTCATCCATCAGCATTCATTTAGGTTGCTCCCAACTCTTGGCTATTGTGAATAATGTCACAACGCATTTTCCCAAATGTTTTCCTGGCTCTTTGTAATATTGAAAAAACTTTCTATATCCACTAATGTAATAATTTACCTTTCTAAATTTCTAAAATTTTAACATTTTCCTAGTTAGAATTTGCATGGCTATCAGCTCACTAATAATTTAAAGTTATTGCATCAAATATTTTGGCTCATAATGGCATTTGCGTGTGTCTTCAGGAAGTTTTCGTATTTGGGGATACTCTGATTCTTGAATATTTAGTAGAGTTTTTAGTAAACCTTTAGAATAGGAAGTATCTCCCTAAATGTAAGGCAGACAACAGTAAAATAATAAAGTGACTGATTTATTTAACTATGTCAGAAAACTGTAGCTTTACTAGTTTTTTACATACTTTTTGCTTATGTTAAAATGGTATACATTATATTGTTAATAAAAAGAAAATTCAATAAACAATTTTAAAATATCTTCTTAGACAGTAACCAGAGCGGGGGGAGAGGGATAACGGGGGGACATAGGGGAAGGGCCATCAAGGAACATGAATAAAGGACCCATGAACGAAGCCAAGGGGGACAGGATTGAGGGTAGGGAATACAAGAGGGAATGGGTGGAGCAGGGGGGGTTGGGGGGTGCAAATGGAGACAACTGTACCTAAACAACAATAAAAACCAAATAATAAAGTATTAAAAATTGAAGTATCTTCTTAGAAGTTCTTTGTAATATGAGCATTTTAGCAATATGCCATCAGCAATCTTCTCAACTGTAAAATGCAGTAGGTAATAGCTTCTTCCTTACAAGTCACTGTGAAAAAACTTAGAAATAATCTATGTAAAGTGGTTAACATCACGTACATTAGAAAGTAATGCCCATTCATTTTTTCCACCAAAATGATCATAGTTTTTTATTTTTATTCTTGAGTTGTGCCATTTTCAAGATATATTCCATTGTTGCAAACTGAATCATTTTTATAAATTCCTCTTAATGATTCCTTTGAAACACAACTTCAGGTCTCCCTCTGTCTCTCTCTCCCTTCACATATATCTCGAATAATATCTCAAGCCTTATAATGAAAGCCTTATAGCTTCCCCACTGTTTATTCAGACTTCCAGAAACAACTTCATTTTTCTGGTTGTAATCCTATTTTCTATATTAGCTATGTATTGCAGCTTTTAACTTTTTCTCATGCCTTCCTTCTCTGAAAAAAATTAGCATGTACTTCTCTTACTTAATTTAAAACACAATTTAACCTTGCCCAGTATAATTATTTAAAGAATTTGGAAAATCAAAATTCAATATCAATTATTATATAAACATTTACCATTTTATGACATGAATCTTATCCAGAGAAGTGCCCTTAGGATAATAGGAATACATTTTCTTCCTAATTTTTTTTTTGACCTTTGAAATGCTGAACTTCCCTTGTTTCTTTGTTTTCTTCCTATCAATTCATCACTGGTTCATCCCTCTGCACCAGAAATATAAATGTTTTCAGTGGATTCAGATGCATGAGACAATTTACCAGCTTCAACTTTTTCCCTTGGGGACACCCTCCTTAGGCTTGAATATATACCTGGAAGGACAGAGGCGAGAAGGATGTTTACACCTGGGTGTAGGGGAACTTACTCAGAGATGCAGCAGGTCTCCAGCAGTAAAGGTGCTTGGGAAAGGCTGGACTCTGTGTTTAACCTTCTGTGACTGTTTAATTCTCTGTAGCCTCAGGTTTAGCTGACTACCCACACAGCCAGTATGCAACCCAGAGACAAATGTCAAGCCCCAGGAAGGGGGTAATGAATGTATAGAGCTTGGATAACTTCTTGATGTTAACATAGAAATGCATTCATTGCTCTTTCTGGTGGTCTGCAGTAACTCCCTACCATATGGTTTTACTATAAACCCCTATAAAAAGGAGAGCTTGTCCTGGGAGGGAGCTGGATCTATTTTCACCAGCCACCACTGGAAACAGTGGGCTGGAAACATGGGCTTTGCCCATGTAAGTTTCTCCTATTAAAGCTGCTATGAATTTAATAAAGCTCTTATGAATTTGAAGAAGGCTATGTGTCAGTTCTTCAGAATTCATCCTGAATTTAGACTTTAGGAGATTTCACCGAACACTGGGTAAAAGGACTGGGAGACAGTGGTGGGAGTGAGAATATTCTACTGACTCGTGCCCATTTTTGAAGTGTTCCTATTATGTTTATCTATGATGTAGTCCCTCCCCGCCAAAAAATATATATATTTTTTTAATTAAACAGCTACAGGGTTAGATCCCTCTCTATTCGTTTGGGACATCAAGTTGTTGAGAAATGTGAATATATGGTCCACTTTTACAAAGCAATTAAGAATAAAACTACACACACAAATTTAAAATCATAAACATGAGTTTGTCGTTCTATTAAGCTTTGTGAGGCTGTGTGAACGTGGTGGGAAAGTTTGTTGTTACCCTTCCTGTTATCTGTACAGTTTAGGGAGCCTGGTGAAGCCCCACCATCAGCCTCGCCCCTAGAGCTGATTTCTTCCCACTGTCCAGCCCGCCTAGTCTATTCTAGCCGCGTCCCTGCCCCATTCCCGCCTCATCCCCATCTCTGGAATTGGTCTTTTCTACCGTTTGCCCCTCCTACTCCAGCCTCACCCCCAGGTCTGGTACCTACACATAATCTTTACCACAAATCTGGTTCCGCACCCAAAACCAGGTCCAACGCGCCTGGTACCGCCTACATCCTGGTCCCCCCAACGGTACTGCGGGAAAAGAGGGTCTCCACCCGCGGCCACGCCCCCTGGGCCTGGTGCCACCCACAACGTGGTCCCTGCCCAGCCCGCACTGCGAGAACTGGCCTTAGCCCAAGTCTGTGCCTGGGGTCGCCAGAGCCTGGCCCCGGACGCCAGAAACTAGCGTCCGCCCACAAATGGCCCATGGGGCTCCTCCCGCCCCCGCTCTCTCTGATCACCGCCTCGGCCCCTAGACCCCGGTATTCTCGCTCTCCGCGGTGGCCAGCCCGTGACCGGAAACTTCCGTGTGCAGCCGCCAGCCCGAGACCGGAAGTAGAAGCCCAGGGAGGCTCCGTGGACACAGTCGTGGGTGGCTGGCTGCGCGGTACGTGTTCGATCTTCTCTGGGTGGGACGGCGTTCACGTGGTACGTGTGGCCGCAGTGCGAGGGGTGGACTAGGTGAGCCGCGGGTAGTCCAGGGCAGTGTAGGGAGGGGCAGGGGCTTAGGGCACCTCCATCACGGCCCTGGGACTCTCCGCCCCTCCCGGGACCCAGTTTCCTCCTCTGGGCTGGTCCTTCAGGTCGGCCGGAAGCTGCTGTCACCTCCCAGCTCTGGACGGCGCTGTCGCTCCTTGAGAGCTTCCCCCGACTATCGTCATCCTCACCGGGTGTGATTTTGGCCCCCCAAGGAGACTTTTATTGGTGTCTAGTGGCATTGTTTGGGTTATTACAAATGGCGGGGGAGGGGGTCGTTATTGGCATCTAGAGGGTGGAGGCCAGGGCTGCTGCTCAGCGTCCTCCAGGGCTCAGCCTTCACAACAAACAGTTATCCAGCGCCAAATGTCAGTAGGGCTGAGGCTGGGAAACCCTGCCCGAGGGCCTTAAAATCTCTGAGGCCCTGACTGAACTGTGGGAATTCTTTACAAGTCAGCTGAGTCACTTACAGGGACCCCCAAGTGACAAGCCGTATTTAAAGTGTCTGCAGTCACCAACAACTAACTATCCAGCCAAATGAGTTGAGCAAGCCAACTGCACACAGCATGAACCCGCTTTCTCCCACTCGGGGAGCAGATGGCTGGATGGGATCTGGAAAATCCAGGCACAGCCAGCAATTACACGTTAATCAGTAAATACGGAAAAGAAAAATGAATGGGATGGCTTTTCCATTCAACAATGGAATTATGCCCTATAAAAGGCCTTAAGAGCAATCTGCTTTTTCTTTGTGCCCCAGACAAGAAAAGCACCGCCAGGGCTCAGGTCTGAGTTGAAACCGGCCTTGATCAAGGCCCACCTTTCCTCACTGGTTGAAGATTTCTCTGTGAGCAGGTGAGGGCTGTGTAAAACTTGTGACAACAGGTTCCAGCTACCTCCGTTATGCAGAAAACTGCTACCGTGCTCTCCCGAGCTCCGATTATAAACCCAGGGAGCCACTAACAGTGAGAGAACCTTAAGAAAAATGATTAATGTTTGGTGGATTATATTCAAGGAAACAGACATGTGTGGTTATGTGTATATAAATAATTCAGTAGTTATATGCAAAAATATGTATATATGTACTTATATAGAGATAAGTACACACTAAAAACGTAAATAAAATGTAAACTTTAGAAATGTATACTTACTCACATTGCATAAGATTAAAAATGTTAGGATGTACTATATAAATATATATAATTCTACCTGTATATGAAGGATGACAGATCAATCAACTAAAGACCAGCAGGACTACTTAGCAACATTCCTCAGGCCTGTTGAATTTGACTTCTAAAGCTCTAGAAATACTCCACAAATATTCAGAATATGGGATGTTGGGAAGAAAAATGATTTGAACGTCTTTATATCAATAACAGAAATTTATGTTGTTTTTATTGAGTGTATTGGGGTGACACTGGTTAATGAAATTATACAGGTTTCAGGTACACAGTTCTACAACGGCATCTATACATTGTACTGTGTGCTCACCACCCTGAGTCAAGTCTGATCCATCACCATTTACCCCCTTTTACCCTCCTCCCCCCCCTCCCCGCATACACCCCACTGTTGTCATGCCCATAAGTTCTTCTCTTTTATCAGCCTCTCCCCTCCATCCAGCCCCATCCCCATAACAGACATTTACACTGACTAGGAACCAGATGTATTTTGAGCAAGTGCATTTTTTTTCTTAATGAGATTTGAAATCATTTGGAGGATTAAGCAACAACTTACAGGTTGAAGGATAGAACACCAGTTTCCAAGGACTGACCTCCACAACTTGCCTTTAATAGAAATTAACTTTGCTTCTTAAAACTTTTCTGAAATAATAGTCTGGTGATTCATGTTGCAGATATTCATGTTAAGTAATTTTATATTCAGTGGTTGGGCTTTACTAATATTGTGTGTGAGTGCACTCCCAGGCATGTCTCTTTCATCAGCTTTCCTGTAGCATTCTCGAGGAGAATATTTGCTTGTTATGCAATAGATAGTATCACCATCCATCCATCTTTATTTATTCAGTGCTGAGAGATTTGCCAGGATACAGGACATTCAGTGTTCAAACCAGGGCAGTCAAAGGCAAACCAGGATGGTTCATCATCTAGATGGGCCAGGCCCTAGGCCAGATGCATGGGGAGAACCAAATGGACCTTGTCTTCCTCCATGGAGTTTGCATCCTAAATAATCAATCACGTAATCGATGTGGGAGCTTGGCACAGAGGACAACCTCAGGGAACAGGGAAGCCAGCCATCTTGAGAGGGACTGATATTTAGCTTGAGAGCTGAGGTTGGGGCTGGGTTTTGATAGTCCTAGGACTAGCCTGGAGTGAAGGTGTCAGAGTACCTTGGAGAGAGTGCTGATACGGCGCTAAGGCAGAGAGAACTGCACGAGAGCAACACCAAAAGCAGGAGAACCTGGTACACTCCCTGAACTGGGAAGACGGGTGGCTGAAGTCAAGACAATGACGTGCGAAAGGAACGTGAGCCAAGCTGATGGGCTGTGCAGGGAGGACCAGACCAGGCATTGCCCTGGACTCTGTTCTAGGGCCCGTGAGCAGGCACTGAAGAGGTCATGTGATTTTGGCTTTTGCACGTGGGTTAAAATGGACTTCAGGGTTGATGATGAAGACATAAGAGGGAAGATAGGAGGTGTTAGAAAGAAGTTTAAGATGGTTGTTCCCTAGCCCTGAATAATAGCTGTGGAGGAAGAAAGTAGGAAAAAAGACTTTAGAGTTTAGAACCAAGAGAATGTAATGAATGGCATTTGTCAGATGGCACAGAACACCCACTATGCTCCTAGCACCCATCCATGTGAACCCGCAGACATGGCCTCACCCAGGTCTATGTTTTCACCCTACTCTGCTACTCACAGGCCCCTCCTCCACATCCTAAAGAAAACCATACCTGAGAATGTCTACAGCTTCTCTGACCACCATGGTGGCCACTAGCCACATGTAGCCATTGCAGTTAAACCAATGAAAAATGCAATTAAAAATTTATTTTCTCAGTCCCAGTGGCCACATTTCAAGTGCTCAGTAGGCTCCTGTGGCTAGTGGCTGCCGTATTGAACACAGAATTACAGAACATTTCTGTCATCACTGATGGTTCTATGGGGCAACAGTGATATTGGGTGGCCCTTTCTCTGTGATCCAGCAACAACATATCCAAGAGGGGACAGAAGTCTCTGAATTTGTAAACCAAACAGAGCCCCCTTCTGTCCTCCTGTGATACTTTAGCTACCAAAACCGCTTGAAGGGGTACTCGGGGTCTGAAAGTCCCAGGCACCTTGTTAGCCTCCTATTCCAGTGGGGCTCTGTGAGCTGGCTGGATCCCGGCTCTTCTCTCTCCTCAGCGCAGTGACTGTGACTATTCCCAACTGCAGACCAGCTCCGTGGTGGGGAGAAAGGAACCATCCTCCACCTGCGCAGGTCGGGAAATTTCACCATAGCCGTGTGGGCCTGCTGGACTCACACAGACGCTCCGGGAGAGTTTGGTGTGAGAAGCCGTATTAGTTACCTATAGCTGCTGTAACAAGTTATCATAAACTTTGTGGCTTAAAGCATTGCCAGTTTATTTTCCTGGGCTTCTGGAGTTCGGAAGTCCTAAATGGGTTGGCAGGGCTGCATTCCTCCTGGAGTCTAGAGGAGAATCCATTCCCTCGCCTTGTCCTCATAGAGGCCTCCTGCATTCATTCCTTGTCTCAGTGCTCCTCTTTTCAAATTCAGAGCTAGCAGCGGAGCATCTCCCAATCTCCCTCTGACCCTCTGACCTCTGCTTTCATCATCACATCTCCTTCACTGACCCTGACCCTCCTGCCTCCCTTTTGTAAGGGCCTTTGTGATGACATCGGGCCCACCTGGATGATCCAGGATCTTCTCCCACCTCAGTGTCTTTACTTTAATCACATCTGCAGAACCTTTGCCAGGTTAGGTAGCACATCCACAGCTTCTGAGCGGAACACGGGTATCTCTGAAGAGGGAGCATTATCTGGAATCACACAAGCCCAGGAGGCAGCCACTCCCTACAACTCTTTTTCACCTGGCCACACTCACTTTAGTGTCTAGTGTCCCCTCCCTGCACACACTCACACCCCCTATTGTTTTCATCTTTTCTGTATCAGAAGGACACACACAGAAACCTCAAGAAGCTAGTTTTGTGGAATTACCTTTTATTCTGTAATTATAAGAAGGTAGGTGTCCCCTACTCATAAAAAGAAAATATTCTATATGTGCTACTTGGTACCTTGTTGTTTTTCTTTTTTTACTTAAATTTATTGGAACTAAGAATCTGTCGATACCTAGAAACCCTAGTTTTCTTTGCTTTGGCTGCTTGTTTCTTCAGGATGTTTACTGAACTGACTCCCCATTGGTGGCCATTTGTGTTCTTTCTAACCCTTCGATGTTGTCAGTAAGGCCGCAGTGAGTACTCTCACTGTTTGGGGCCGATCTCAGCCACAAATAACTGACGTGGCTAGACCAGCCCTTGTGGGTTTGATTATGATTGCAAGATGCCTTTCCCCAGTAACCATCAGGAAACTGAAAAGATACAGGTTCAATGCTTACAAGACCTGAAAGCACAGCTTGGGCCCCACAGGATGGTCACAGGTAGAGAGAATGAGTTGGTCTGAGGTTCCACTTTTATTGGGGTATAGGGTAGGGGCCTAAGGTTTCGTGGGTTCCCTCTTTATTGGTGAATTTAAAACATAAAAACAGGAATTTAAAGTGCAGGAAGAGAAAACATGGGCAGCCCAAAGGGTCGGTGTTGAAATCCACCACGATCTCTCAAGTAGAAGGCTCAGTGGCGGAGGCTGCCGGCTGTTTATGAGAGGCAGCTGAGTTCCCACTAGAGGCCTCTTTGAAACGGCTGTTGTCCGGGCAATCAGAGCTTCAGTCGGGTACTCACATTGCATGAAAGGAAAAATCAACAAATGTCAGGGCTCTCTCAGAACTCACCCAGTCCATTGACAGTGCAAAAGTAACTGTCTTGCATTTTGCTTGATGATGACAAATTCCTCCCACACGAGTTGTACCCCAGCAGGGTATGAGAGTGCACTTCCATGCAGCTTTGCCAATAAAAAGTGGCCCACCACGTCCATGTTGCTCCGACTGGTAAGAGCTGGTATCAGTGTAGTTGCAGTCTGCATCTCTGAAAAAGATTATTGGCGTTTCTACTGGTGGAATTGGTAAACACATTGTACTTTGTTGGAAACACATTGTACTTTGTTGAGGAGTGAGTGGGACATGAGGAAATGAGACAGAGTGGAAATACTGGCTGTGGTGAGTGGGCAAGACTGGGCAGAAACGGGAAAGACGACAACCATTCGGGTGGACTTATTTCACTGCTGAAAATACCTCATCAGGTCTGAATGATGTGCGGTTGAGTTCAGTAGAGTGGGAGAGCTTGAAGGGAAGGGTAAACAAGAGACCATCAGTAGCGTACAGCTCCTGAAGGCAGGTGGCATGGGACACAGAGCAGAGCTGTAGAATCTGACCTTGCAGAGAAGGGAAGACAGCTCCTGGTTTGTAACAGAAGACTCGGAGGATACCATGTTCAGATTGTCATTTTGGTGGCAAGACAAGAAGGTTCCTCCCGTGCTGATCACTTTGAGACGTAGGATGCAGGGCCATCTGCTGAAAGTGAGGGTGTATTCCTTATCTGTTGCTGCTAACCTTAGTCTCTTAAAACAGTAAACATTTCCTGTCTCTTACAGTCTTTGTAATTCAGAAATTCCTCTTAGCTTCAAGGTCTGGCTCAGGCACTTTTGTGGTTCCTTAGCCAGATTTCAGCCGGGACTGCAGTCATCTGAACGCTGTACGGGTGCTGAAGGATTCACTTCCCACGTGGTGCACGCTGTCGGAGAGCGGCCTCAGCTCCTCTCCAAGTAGCTTTCTCCTCAGCACTGCTTGAGTGTCCTTGCAACATGGATTCCCCAGAGCAAGCAGTGCCAGAGACCCAGGTGGAAGCTGCAGTGTCTATTGTGACCCAACCTTAGAAGTCACCTCCACAGTATTTTATTAGTTGCGCAGCTCAGCCCTAATTAAATGCAGGTGTGAATATCAGAGTCTTGAATCATTGTCCATATAGGAAGCTGATTACCAGAGGGGGGCAAAAGTGAGGATGTATGAGAGTCAAAGAGATTAGAGAAGGTGTGATATGTAGGAAGCTCCATCAATTTATAGGATTGTCCTGCAGGATTGAGGGCCCTTTTCATGTTGGTGACGACGTTTGTGTAGAGGTGACAATGGCTCTCCTGCAGGCTGCTCTGCCCCAGTGCTGCCACAGAGCAGCAGGTGATTGCAGTCACCTGGTTGGAGTGCTGCTGGAGCACTATGAAGGGGTAGGGACATTTGTGGAAATGAAGGACATTGTCACCCAAGCTGGGTATGCAGGAAATGAGAGAACACGATTGGTAACTAGCAAGAAAGTAGGATAGTAGGTGGACTGTTCTTTATGTGGTAGAAGAACGCATGTAGTGAAAGAAAAAAAGACTGCACAAAGGAGAAGTTTGGAAGGTTTTGTTCAAGGAGAGTAGACTTTCTGAACTGTGTTCTGGACAGCGAAACAGTGCTGGGTGGTGACTAAGCCTGAGGCGGTGCCTGTGGAAGCGTGTGGCCGAGGTGGAGTGAGGTAAGCTCATAACGCAGTGAGGTCTGATGCCATCAGAGTGAGGTGGAGCCAGAGTCTCGAGTGAGTAGGGATTGAAGTTGGGGGTGTGATTGTGACGACCATGTGGATGGGAAGAACATGTCCTGAGACTTAGCAAAGCTGAGGATGTAAAATGGGATGGAGCGGTAATCGTATATCGATTGTACCGTGGTGGACAGAAAACCAGTTTTGCCATCACACAGCTCTGGGTCCTTCGCCTGCTAGGCAAAATAAAGGCCCAATAACAAAGACCTTGCATTTTGCAGGAGGACATGATGGGCAGGCTAAGACAGAGTTGTCCTCAGTAACCCGGAGAGGGAGAGAGGTTATGAATGTTCATTATTTTCTCATTCATTCCAGAGAGCACTGTGGGAGTCCGTGGAGGAGCGCCCTGGTTCTCCCACTGCCCTGTGGTTTGGGAAAATTTACCGTCTGAATCATAGGATCATGGCTGTGGTTCTGTTCCCCACGTGTGGTAAGTTGTGGGGTCCGGGAGGCTCCCAGAGTCCGGGTGTTAACAGCCCCTGTACCACAGAGCAGGGGTGGGAGGGGGCTGAGCAAATGAGGCAGGAATGGAGCCCAGAGGTCACTGGTACCTAATTTGGTTTGGGGTATTTGGGACTTTCATGGTTTGAGTGTCTGGGGGGATGTCACCTGTATAGTAAATGTGCCAGAGTTTTGAATTTTATCCCTAATTCTTTTTAGCAACTTGACAAAATGATGTCCCTTGAATTTCCAGTTTCCTCATCTGTGAAATGGGAACAATCTCTTCCTCGAGTGCACTCTGACTCTTGAGCCCTGTTTTCTGGCCCTGATGAGACAGGGCCCTGCGCTGGTTTCTCAGTGAAAGGGCGGGTGTGTTAGGGGGTGTCTGCTCTCGGGGAGGAGGGGAATTTGTGAGTGCTGGGTTCTTGGACTCACTTATGATTCATTTCTTTTTCTCCAGTTCAGGCTCCCCTGTACCCAGCATCTCCTCAAAAAGGCTGCACAGAGGAGGAGGAGTTTGTTAATGGCTTCCTGACAGGCTGGTTACCGGTGAGTCAGGTTTCCCTTTTTCCAAATCATTACTTTTTTTGGGCAAAAGCTGAACTCGTTCCCTTCAGTGACCTGTAGCCTCACAGCCAGACCAGGTCTGAGGGTCTGCCAGAACAAGGTCAGCGGATGTCAGTATTCACTGCACTGCAGAGTTTCCTGCAGGGGAGGGGCACTGTCTACATCATGTTCTGCTGATAGTTTTTAAGGGGATGCTAAGGAAAGACATGACTGCTTCCTAAACTCAAGCAGTTGATGGTGGCCATTAGGCAGTCATTTATACATTTACCAAGTATTTCCTGATTTCTGCAATGTCCCAGGCCCGTGCTCAACCTTTGAGGTTGAGGGCTGAACTCAGAAGCAAATGAGAGTTGAGCCCCGAACTCTGATGTACAAAGTACACCTGCTTTGGATTCCCTGTCACCACTCTTGTCATCCTTGGCCCTTTTCCTATATGGCCTCAGTGGGGTGCTCCTTGGCTAAGCCTTACTGGTTTTGATGGTTTTAGGACATGGTGACCTTTGAGGACGTGTGTGTAGAGTTTACCCAGGAAGAGTGGGCACTGCTGGACCCTTCTCAAAAAACACTGTACAAAGACGTGATGCTGGAGAACTGCAGGAACCTGGCCTCTCTTGGTAAGCCCGACATCATTCCTGCATTTATTTAGTGACTCTGGTAACAAGTCTCTCCTTCTTTTTCTTTGTCAAATTGAAGTAACGTTCATACAACATGAAGTTTACTGTCTTAACCATTTCAGAATATACAATCCAGTGGCTTTGGTGTGTTCAGAGTGTTGTGCAAGCATCAATTTCAGAACGTTGTCATCACCGTTAAGTCGTCAATTCCCATTACATTCCCCACTCCCTCCCAATTGCTGGCAGCCACTCATATGCTTTGTCTCTGAATTTGCCTATACAGTTCATATTATTAGATCATAAAATATGAGATCTTTTGTGTCTGACTTATTTCAGGCAGTATAATATATAAAGGTTTAGCTGTGTTATAGAGTATATTTCAGTTCTTTATTCCTTTTTAGACTGAATATTTCATTTTATGAATATATCACTTTTTGCTTACCCATTCAGTGGTGATAAACATTTGGGTTGTTTCCACATACAGGCTGTTATAAATAATGCTGCTATGCATTTTTGTATACAAGTTTTACTTCAACCTGTACTTCTAGTTCTCTTGGGTATTCATTTAGGAATGGGATGCTGGGATCCATATATTACCATGTTTAGCTTTTTAAGAAACGGCCGACTGTTTTGCCCAACATCTTCACCATTGTGTGAGGGAAGGTTCAGATTCCTCCACAGCTTCCCCAACATTTGTTTTTTGAGTACAGCCATGCTTGTGGGAATAAGTGGTATTTCATTGTTTTGATTCGCATTTTTGCCATGACTAATGACCTTGAGCATTTTTCTGTGTACTTGTTGACTATTTGTATATCTTCTCTGCATAAATGTCCGTTTAAGTCTTTTGTCAGTTTTTTAATTCGGTTGTTTATGTTTTTGTTCCTGGGTTATAAAAGCTAATTATATATTCTGAATATACCTTTATTCAAAATATGATTTGGAAATAATTTCTCCCATTCTGTGGTGTCTTTCCATTTTCTTTTTTTAATTTAATTTGTTAAATTTAAGTGTGATTGGTATATAGTATTATGTTGGTTGTATTAATTTCAGGTGTACAGTATAATGATTCAACATTTCTATAGCTTGCATTGTGATTATCCCACTAATTCTAGTAATCATCTGTCACCATGCAAACCTATCACAATATTACTGACTATATTGCCCTTTTTTACTCATTTCTACCTCCTCTGTTCTGGTAACCATTCCTTTGGTCTGTCTCTATGAGTCTATTTTTGTTTTGTTTGTTCCTTTGTTTTGTTTTTTAGATTCCACATATAAGTATAACCATACAGTATTTGTCTTTCTCTGCCTGATTTATTTAATTTAGCATAATACCTCCGAGATCCATTCATGTTGTCACAAATGGCAAGTTTTCACTCTTTTTTATTGGTGCATAATATTCCATTGTACATATGTACCTCATCTTCGTTATTCATTCATCTATTGATGTACACCTAGGTTGCTTCCATATCTTGGCTCTTGTAAATAATGCTGTTATAAACATAAGGGTGCATGTATCTTTTCAAATTCATGTTTTTCTTTTCTTTGGCTAAATATCCAGAAGTGGAATTTCTGGGTTTTATGGTATATCTATATTTAGTTTTTTGAGGAATCTCCATACTGTTGTCCATAGGAGCTGCATCAATTTGCAGTCCCATCAAGTGCACAAGGTCCCCTTTTATCCACATCCTCGCCAGCACTTGTTGATTTATGGATGATAGCCATTCTGACAGGTATGCCCTGATGTCTCATCGTGGTTTTAATTTGCATTTCTCTGACAATTAGTGACATTGAGCATCTTTTTATATGTCTAGTGGCCATTTGTATGTCCTAAGAGGAGAAGTGCCTATTTAGGTCCTTTGCCCATTTTTTAATTGGATTGTTTGGTATTGGGTTGTATGAGTTGTTTATGAATTTTGGATATTAACCCCTTACTAGAGGTGTCATTGACAAAGATGTTCTTCCATTCGGTGGGTTGTCTATTCATCTCTTGATGGTTTCCTTTGCTGTGCAAACATATTTTAGTTTGACATAGTCCTACTTATTTATTTTTTTTTGTTTCCTTTTCCTGAGGAGATATATCAGAAAAAAAAAATTGCTATGAGAAATGTCTGAGATTTTACTGCCTATGTTTTCTACTAAAATTTTTATGGTTTCATGGCTTACATGTAAATCTTTAATCCATTTTTTAGTTTATCATTGTATATAGTATAAGAAGATGGTCTAGTTTCATTTTTTTGACCAATTTTCCCAACACCATTTACTGAATACACTGTCTTTACCCCACTGTATGGTTTTGTCTTCTTTGCCAAATATTAATTGCCATACACGTGTTGACTTATTTCTGGGCTCTCTATTCTATTCCATGTATCTATGTATCTGTTTTTGTGCCAGTACCATGCTCTTTTGACTACTATTAGCCTTGCAGTACAGTTTGGTGTCAGGTATCATGGTACCTCTAACTTCGTTCTTCTTTCTCAAGATTGCTGTGGCTATTTGGGGTCTTTTGTGGTTCCATATAAATTCTTGGGTTATTTGTTGTAGTTCCATGAAATGTGCCATTGGTATTTTGATAGGAATTGTGTTTAATCTATGGATTGCTTTAGGTAACATGGACATTTTAACTATCTTTCTATCCATGAAAATGGTGTATGCTTCCATTTATTTATATCTTCTTCAATTTCTCTCTTTAGTGTCTTACAATTTTCTTGGCACAGGTCTTTTGCCTTCTTGGTTAAATTTATTCCTAAGTATTGTTTTTTGCTGCAGTTGTAAATGAGACTGTTTTCTTAGTTTCCATTTCTGATTGTCCATTATTAGAATATAAAAATGGAACTGATAGCTCAGTGGATTGAGCACGGGCCTGCGAACCAGGCAATCTCGGTTTGATTACTAGTCAGGGCACATGCCTGGGTTACAGGCCAGTTCCCTGCAGGCCAGTTCCCAGCAGAGGACACATGAAAGGCAACCATACATTGATGTTTCTCTCCCTCTCTCCTTCCCTTCCCCTCTAAAGATAAATAAATAAAATCTTTAAAAAAAATGGAACTGATTTCTGAATATTTATTTTTTATCCTACTACTTCAGCAAATTCATTTATCAGTTCTAGTAGTTTTTGGTGGAATCTTTAGAGTTCTCTATATACAGTATTATGTCATCTTCAAATGATGACAGCTTTACTTCTTCCTTTACAATTTGGATGCCTTTTATTTCTTCTTATCTGATTGCTATGTCTAGGACTTCCACTACTATGTTAAATAAGGGTGGTTAAAGTGGACATCCCTTTGTACATGGTTTCCTTTAGGTCTTTAACCATATTTAAAATAGTTTAAATTTTTTACCTAATAAGTTTAATATTTAGGTTTCTTCAGGAACTGTTTTTAATTTTTTTCCTGTAATGGGCCATACATTTGTATCTTTGCCTGCCTCATAATTTCATTTGCTGAATACTAGACATTTGGAATACTATAATATGGCAATTCTAGAATATTATTTTTTTCATTCCCCAGGGTTTGTTGTTGTTGCTTGTATGTATGCTGTATGTGTGTATGTTGTATGTATGTATGTATGTAGTTGATGTTATATGTATGTTTAGTGATGTTTGTGAACTAATTTTATAATGTCTGAATTTGTTGTATGTGGCCCTGAAGGCTCTGCTATGTTAAGAGATCTCCTTGAATGCCTGGAACAAAAACAAACAAGCAAACAGACAAAAAACTAGTCTCTGCAGATGGGCTCTGAATATATAAAAGGGGTTTACACTCTGCCATGGCCTTCCCATCCTGCTTACGTAGAGCCTAAAGATCAGCCAGAGTTGAAGACTTGGTGTCTTTTTAGGTCTTCTCATGCCTTTTCAGGTCTTTTCTGAGCATGTGCCCAAACTTGAGAATGCATGAAGCTATTATATTAAAATTGTCAAGTCCAAAACCTATACAAAAATTTTAAAAGAGTTTATTTAAGCAAAACCAAAGACAGTTGCCAGGAATCAAGACCTCAAATGCACCTTGGCTGGCGTAGCTCAGTGGATTGAGCACAGGCCTGTGAAGCAAAGGGTCGCCAGTTCAATTCCCAGTCAGGGCACATGCCTGGGTTGCAGGCCAGTTCCCCAGTAGGGGACACATGAGAGACAACCACACATTGATGTTTCTCTCCCACTCTTTCTTTTTCCTGTCCTCTCTCTCTAGAAATAAATAATTTTTTTAAAAAGACCTCAAATGCTCCAGAGAATGCCAGTTTTGTGATTTCTTTTATACATTTGAAATTAAGGAGGGAACATAAGGAAGATTACAGAAAGGTGGGAAAAGGCAAGGTGTGGAGCAAATTACAGGATAGTTAAGATTGTGTTCTCTTGAGGATGGCTGTGCCTTCAAGGGGTATTACTTTGGCATTTCAAAAGTATGTTAACATATATGTCTAAGACCAATGGGCGGGACTTGCTTAAAAAAACCTGTCACTAAAGAAATTATGTTATGTGACTAACCACCATGACCTGCCCAGTTAGGAATTTATGATTTACTATAGCACCTCTTTTTCATCCACGATATGAATCAGCTTTTCCAAAGTTCCCCAAAATATCTTATTCCACACTTCTCCGTCCATGTTTTTGGTTAGTCTTTTGTTTTCTTCTGCTATTTTCCCTTGCTTCAGGTGGTGGTGGTTGATAGATTTGCGCATACCCACTGGGTAGCCAGCTCAGCCCTTGGACAGTTTGAGATTGGATCAATGAAATCAAGCCCTTTGAACTAGACCTTCAGAAAGGTCAAAACTATCACAGTTCCTTGAGGTAATGGTCCATTCTGCTCCTTCCAGTCCTAGGCATGTGGCATGTTGTCTAATCAAGGCCACAGCCAAAGCAGGGAATACAGGATGAGTCGAGGATCAGTTAAAATGTCTTTTTTCCCCTTGATTAAGCATTTTCCTGGGTGTGGTAATCTTTTGATAAGTTTCTAGAGTTCAAATAAAGTTTGTTCTGATAGTTTTTGCCAGTTTATTCACAGTTTTTGTGCAGGATGGGCTTTTGGAGTTTAATATTCCTCATTTTCGATGTCATTACTTCTCACAAGTCTTTCTTAAGCACTTCTATGTTGCTGGGTCGGTGCTAGGTTTAGGAGTATGGTGATGAATGGGACAGACATGTCCTCTACCCTTGCAGAGCTTTCCAGCTGATGCCTCCACTATGAACTGAATGTGTGTGTTTCTTACCCCGTCTTTATATCTCCATGCTTAAAGCTTTTAGAGCTTCTTAAGTGTGCACTTAAACTTTGTCATGGGCTTTGGGACTAAACTGACCCTTGGATAACACAGATTTGAACTGCCTGGGTCCATTTATATGTGGATTTTTTTCAATAAATATACAGATGGCCCTTCATATCCCAGGCTTCATATCTGAAGATTCAGCCAACCACAGATCAAAAACAGTTTTTGATCCATGGGTTGGGAATTTGTGAATGTAGAGGGCCAACTGTATGCACTGTTCCATGCAATTTTATATAAAGGACTTGAGCATCTGTGGATTTTCATATCACAGGGGATCCTTGACCCAATCTCCCATGGATACCAAGGGACAACTGAAGTTTTGGGGGAGTCAAATTAAGTGTGGATTTTTGACGGTGCAGGTGGTCAGTGCCACTAAACCCCTCATCCCAGGGTCGACAGTATTTATGCCATCACCTAGATATGAGTAAGGATGCTTATATTTTTGTTCCTTGAGAGTTATAATATTCAAAAGAATTTAGGTATAATTAGTCACTGTTCCAAAAGTCACACTTGGTCATCTTTAGAAATGTTGGCTTCAGTTTCATGGAGTCGCTTGTCACCTGTACAGTCCCCCTTCAACATGTCTTTTCTCCATGATTAGGGTATCATGTTGATAAACTCAGCCTCATCTCTCAGTTGGAGCAAGAAGACAAGGTGATGGCAGAGGGGAGAGAAGCTCTCCCTGACATTTGTCCAGGTGAGCACCATCTGGGTATGAGTCCTTGTGAGGGATAGCTGTGGCCAGTGACTGGGGATGTGGGATTAGTACAGTAAGAAATATCAGGGAACTTGAGGAAATGTCTTTTTTTTTTCCTGATGGAGGTGGCCAAGAACATTTGGTTTTAACTAACTTTTTTTCCTTTTAACTTTCCATTCAACATCTTATACTTTATTTTGTACTCAGAGTTTAAAAAAAAAAGACATCTCTTTTTAAAAATGTCTCATATGACCTTTTTGTCCTATTTCTTTATACTTTGCATCCCTGATAATTCCTTCCTTTGTGAATCTCTGATAAATCTTAATCCTCTAGAATCCTTTTTTAAAGCCTACAATTTGCATACTCATAATCCCTTTCACTGCAGACCTCCTCAAAAACCCTGATCCCTCTATACATGAGTCTAGCTACACTCATATTGCATTTTACTTTTTTTTTCTCCATCAATTTAAATTTCTTTTCAATCTCTTTCAGATTTGGAGACTATACTTAAAGCCAAATGGTTAACTCCTAAGAAGCATATTTTTAGAAAAAAACGTTCTAGTGGTGTAAAAGCGGTAAGACTAATGTGTGATTCTTGGTTTTTCACAGTAGGAGAATTCTAAAAGTTAGAAAAAACAAAAATAAAAAGACTCATTAAAAGAAAGTATCATTTACACAAGAGAAAATAGTGTCTCTGGAGTGGTGCTGTGAAAAAAAAAATGGTGACTTTGGAGAAAATTATGTTAGCTCCAAACTTTTTTCACTGAGAGTTTCCACAAGTAAATAATTTCTTTAAATGTGACTAAGATATTGTCTGTTGAATTATAAAGTTAGTAAATTAGTAAATTTAAGTTAATAAAAATGCTCTCTGAGCATGGATGGTAAGGACTTGTGGCAAAGCATGTATTGTTTTGAACTTCTAAGAGTTCAAACTGGGCAGAAGTCATTTACAAGCACTAAAAAGAGTGGAAGCATCAGTGATAATAATGTAATAAATTCCTAGGAGAGAGAATTTACGACAAAACTGAATATTAAAAATATTACGAATTATAGTTTTTATTCATCTCTATCAACAGGAAAGAAATCATGTTGGAGTGAAACTCAATGAATGTAATCAGTGTTTTAAAGTTTTCAGCACAAAATCTAACCTTACTCAGCATAAGAGAATCCATACTGGAGAAAAACCCTATGACTGTAACCAGTGTGGAAAATCCTTCAGCAGTAGATCGTATCTTACTATTCATAAGAGAATACATAATGGGGAGAAACCCTACGAATGCAATGACTGCGGGAAAGCCTTCAATGATCCCTCCTCCCTCAGACTGCATGTAAGAATTCATACCGGAGAAAAACCTTACGAATGTAACCAGTGTTTTCATGTTTTCCGTACCAGCTGTAACCTCAAAAGCCACAAGAGAATTCATACAAGAGAGAATCATCATGAGTGTAATCAGTGTGGGAAGGCCTTCAGCACGAGGTCCTCCCTTACTGGGCACAACAGTATTCATACAGGGGAGAAACCTTACGAGTGCCACGATTGTGGGAAGACCTTTAGGAAGAGCTCCTATCTGACACAGCATATGAGAACTCATACTGGAGAAAAACCCTATATGTGTGCTCAGTGTGGCAAATCCTTCAGCAGTAGCTTTTCTCTCACTGTGCACAGGAGAATTCATACTGGGGAGAAACCCTATGAATGCAGTAACTGTGGGAAAGCTTTTAATAATCTCTCAGCTGTTAAGAAACATGTGAGAACTCACACTGGAGAAAAACCCTATGAATGTAATCATTGTGGAAAATCTTTCACCACTAACTCTTACCTTTCTGTGCATAAGAAAATACATAATAGGTGGATTTGAATACAGTAACTGGGGAAGCATTCATTGATTTCTTGCCCCTCAGCCGACTTGTGGTAACTCATCCTAGGTGTATGAGTTATCTGTTGCTGCATAACAAATGTCCCTGCAAAACAACAGACATTTATTATCTCATAATTTCTGTAGGTCACAAGTTCATGAATGGCTTAATTTTGTCATTCTGGCTCAGGATCTGTTATGAGGACTCATTCAAGATCATCAGCAGGAGCTACAATTACCTGCATTTTTACTAGTGAGGAGCTTGTTTCCAAAATGGCTCACTCACATGCCTGGAAAGTTAGTGCTGGGTGTTGGCAGGGAACTTTCATTTCCTCGTCATCTAGGAATTTCCACAGGGTCTAAGTATCTTTATAATATAGCAACAGATTCCCTCCAGAGCATTGATCTGAGGGAGAGCTAATGCTGAAGCCATGTTGTCTTTTATGTCTGAGCCTTGAAGGACATAGCATTACTTCCGTATTATGTTGGACATGCAGACCAGTCCTGATGCGCTGTGGAAGGAGACTAACAGGAATGTATACCAGGAGAGAGAGATCATTGGGAACCATCTGAGAAGCTTGCCATGAAATCGATGAAGAAAGGCCTCTAGCCTTTCAACCTGTTTGATATGAAGTATTATTCAGAAACTCTCATGTTGATTCACTCTGGAGAAAAACCTCATGAGTGCAGTCGCTGTGGTAAGCTTTCAGCTCAAAATCGCCTTAATGGGCACAAAACATGTGCTGGGGAGAAACCCGAGGAATGTGGTACCTATAGGAAGACCTTCAGTGACACCTCTACAGAGTCGTGTGACCATTTACACTAAGGATAAAACCTCACAAGTATCAGAATGCAGAAAACTTCAGGAACACTCATCCCTTAGGACACACATGAGAAATCACTGCAGCGCAACACACATGTAAGGGATGTGAAAACCCTACGGCACAAGCATTCACATTACTGAGCAAAAGGTGAGATGTTCTGAATGCAATGGAAAAGCCTTAATGTTCTGTCAGTTTTTGAGAGATGTGAGGATTTATTCTGGAGAAAAAGACGGATTAAATGTCATCAGTACTGGAATGTCTTCCATTTTTTCTGTTCTTAAGAAACAGAACTCACTGCAAAGAAACCTATGAATATAAAGATTGATGGAATGCCTTTAATAATAGCTTTTACATTAGGAAAAACATGAAATTCTCCCTGGATGCAAAACTTGTCAGTGTATTAATTTTGGAAGGTCTTTCTACGATGCCAGTCTCCGTTGACTTGTGAGAACTCACACTGGAGGGAGACACAAGGAATGTGATCAGTGCAGTGATGCCTCAGCCTCACTTCTTCGCTGAGTAGCCACAAAATAATTTCACTGGGAATGGAAAATATCAGCCTTATGAGTGTGGTATTACCTTTAACAGTGTCTAATCCTTAGGTTGATCCATTAGCTCATGAATTTTCAGTTGTTTTGTTTTAGTATAAACATTTATGTCTATAGTGATACCATAAACATATGAAGTTATGTTTCATAGTTTGGTATCTAATATGTTTATTATCATTTACTCTTTTAAAATAGCAATATGCTACAAATGTATTTCTGAATATCTGCTGAGTAATTTAGTTTATCATAATGAAACATTATATGAACTATACACTTTTAATTTAACTGCATTTTTGTCAGCCAAGTGGACTTTGTGATGTTGATTCATTTTTATCTTTATATCCTAGTACAGCAGTTGCTTTTAGCTTCTTCCCCAATGCCCATTCTTCCCTACTTACTTAAAGAAAAAAAACATTTTGTTCAAGTTGTCAAACAATATTGAAAATCTCAATAGGTAAAACTTCCCTGAAGCTCAGAGATGTGTGGACCTGCTATGCTGGCCATAGGAAGTAGGTAGAAGTCACTGGGGGTCCCTCATCTGGTTTGTTCACCTTTCCTGTATTCTCTTCATCTTAACTAAGTTTTCCCTTGAAAGTGGGCTCAAGACCTGGAATCAGAGAGCTATGTTTTGGTTATGATGACAAAAAAAATATTTAAAAGATCACAGTGATATGGGCTCCCCAGAAGCTTCCTTGGCTGTATCAACTCCGAGTAGCTTATTCCTAGGCTCCCTGTGTGATTAAGAGTTACCTCCAAGTGATTGGAGCCTAAGTAATTTGGGGGTTTGTTTTTGAGGAGGTGTTGTGCTAATGTCCAGCTGAATCCAACATCTAACTGATAAACCTATTTATTGGTCAGATTTTAGAAATGTGCCATGTTTGTTTGAAAACATTATGCATTCTATAAATTTTAAATACAGATTATATATACACCCATTAACTCAAGTTCATTGTTTTTTGATATAGTATATACATTCAGGGTATTTTTTCTCAAACTTATTTATATTTAGTGATGTGTGTTCAGGTCTTTCATTTGGGTTATAAAGTAACATTCAGTTTTGTAATTCTGTCATTTTTATTTATATATTTTGATGTACTGTAACTAAGCAACAGGATTAATTATTTTCTTGTGAATTGTTTCCTTTTATCATAGGGACCATATTTTTATAGCCAGGTATTTCAATATATTAATAAATGATCAAGCTTTTAAATAGCACTTTCCATATACTAGACACTCTCCTGAATGCCTTATCAATGTCAACTTACTGAGTATTCAATATAAGCTTCCAAAGTATGTACCATTAATATTTCCCTTTTACATATGAGAAAACTGGTATGGGACACTTATGTTACCTGCCCGAGTGCAGTGGCTAGTAAGTGGGAGAGCCCAGGGTTGAACCCACACAGTCTGTGCACTTAACCACTGGCCTCTTTAGTGAATATCTTCTATACGCCAAACTGTTAGAAGCACTGTAAAAATGAATGAAATTCAAGTTTTGCCATTGAAATACTCACACCCCAGTAGGGTGAGAAAGACAGATTATAGAGAAAAATCAATAAAATATAATAACATTGTTATTATAAGTATTATATCAGAAACCGAAGTACTGTAAGATAGTTAAGGGAGTTTTGGATCTTTCTATTTCATAGAGAATTAGAAAGGAAAGCTTCTTAATGAAGGGGCCCTTGAACAAAGATTTTTATGAGTTGGGACAGCAAGTATGTGAATTTGTGTGGCAAGAGGGGTGTTGATGTGGAAAGGCCAACCACACAGAGGCCAGTGCAAACAGAGCAGGACAAGTGGGGGATGTTCAGAGACCAGTAGAAGGTAATGTGGTCAGACTCGGTAGATTCTTATCTCACTGGGTGTTATGAGTCATTGTTAGGACTTTTCCTTACACTTTCAGTGAGTTGGCATAGCAGTCAGAGTCCCAGCAGGAAAATGTCTGAGTAGAGTGTTCGTAAAGGGTCTATTCATAGTGTTGTAGATAGGATAAAGGAGAAGCACAAAAGGTCGTTGGTACACAGTAGTTGGTAAGGGCAGGGCTCTATTAATACCGCTAAGCCTGAAGGGGTGAAGGGTTGAGGGGACAATTTAATAAAATCTGGAGACGAGAGAGGTGCATACCAGGAGCTAAGAGGAGGTCAGGAATAGTACCCAGCCCCAATTCTGCACGAAATAGCCAGAGCAAGATTTCATTTGCTTTCATTCTTTTGATTTAATGCCCAAGCTCTCCATTGACCAAACCCAACCAGAAGCCAAAAGGTAAGAAAGCCCACAGATGTAGTTTATCTTGACTAATTTTCCGGGGTACAGAAGATAGAGAAGGTGGATCCTTTGGGGCTCATGGAAGTTGTCCAGAAATGTTTATTTCTTTTGCTTCTTAGAATCTACTCTTGTGAATCACCTGAGCAGGAATTTTAGACCCGGCCCAGAAATTCCATCAGCTATTGTACCATCCCAAGTGCTGCCAGAGTATTGCCATTCCTACCTGTAGTCCTAAATGGTTGCCTCCTCCTTCACATAAGATGGGTCATAGGAAGAAAGCATAAAATATAAATATATATATAATTAACCACCAAATATGTATATATATACTTATATATAATTAACCACCAAATATATGTTATATAAATATATTTATACATAAATAAAATTAACCACCCTGGCCAGTGTGGCTGAGTTGGAGTATTGTCTCATGGCCAAAGGATTGTGGGTTCATATCCAGTTGGGGTGCATGCCTGGGTTGCAGGTTTGACCCCTGCTGTGGGCATGTATGGTCCCCAGCCCCAGCACGAATGCTCCCTGGTCCAACACCCATTCTGGGTGAGTATCGTTGGGTGAGGATAAAAATAAATAACCTAAAGATCCTGGCTTCCAGACAGCGACACCCACAAGCAGACAAATCGAGAGCCCCACTGAGCGTAGGACTGCTGTGAGGCGAACATGGAAGGAGAGGAGTCACCACAGCTTCTGCCACAAAGAAATATTCAAAGAAAAATATTACAAACTAGGAAAGAAGGCTAGAATGAATGCTGTGGTGTCGGATGGAATCAGAGGTGTTGATATGAATTGATACTTTTTTTTAAGGATTTTATTTATTTATCTTTAGAGGGGAAGGGAAGGAGAGAGGGAGAGAAGTATCGATGTATGGTTGCCTCTCATGCATCCTCTACTGGGAACTGGCCTGCAACCCAGGCATGTGCCCTGACTGGGAATGGAACTGTGATTCTTTAGTTCACAGGCCTGGGCTCAATCCACTGAGCTACACCAGCCAGGGCTTAATTGATGCTTTTTGATAGATGGATCAAAGGATAGATAGGTAGATCGATAGGGATGCGTGTGTGCGAATAGGGTAATATACATCGATATATTTCCAAGGCCAGTCAACTCCAAAAGCCTAGCAGTAATGAGAATACCTATTGTTCATCCAGATCATAGTTTTTAATAAAATACCATCTGCAGAAACAACAAAATAAAACCAGGGCTCTTTGGAAAAAGAAAAGATTTCAGGTCTGGCACAAGGTAACTACAGTGTGAACCTAAATGATCTCTGAAGGATCTTCTAATGGAAAATAAATATTTACAAAAAATAAGTTTCAGAAAACCTTCCTAAAATTTTTCCTTAGATTCTTGAATAAACACCTAAGCTGTGCATTTTCAGGGAGGAACTCTAGGAGGCTTAGAAGAGGCCACGCATACCAGGGCTTGCAGCTTAGTTTTTAGACTCATTTAGAGTGGAATGACCTTGATAGGACGAAGCGACACCTGGGTTCCTGTCATAGCCCTAGAGATGTCACAACTAAGAGTAAGCATCATGCAGGAAGAGTAAGGAGCGCATCTTGAAGTCACTACAAAACAAACAGAGCTTTCCTCATAGAGAAAAGCCTAGCCGTGATGGTTCAAGGTGATCCATCCGTACTATCACTGCCTGCCATGTCACAAAACCTGGCCTGTAGCCGTGTTCGACCTGTGTGCCCCAAGAATGTTTAAACACACAATGACTGACTGCTTAGTCAGGGGCACTGGCCTCTTTTCCCTTAGGTTGTCAAAAAATAACTAACGCAGCAACGTCCATCCAGTGTGAATGAATCAAACTTATACCTATTTTTGTCAGTTTGGCAAAAAATATTTTTTTGTTGTGCTACAGAATTGTAGTAATTAGTTTATATGTGCTGTGAGAAGAAAAAGGTTGAAGATCATGGAGTAAAGTAACATAGTTAAGAGCCTCTGCGAAGTGTTATTCACAAGCTCCAGCACTCAAGAAAAGATTACTGGTAGTGCAAAGCAGCAGGAAAATGTTCTTGATTATTAACGTGAAAGGCAGCAGAAGCAGAACCAGAGGAAATCCAGATATTGGACTCAGTAGACAGGGCCTCAGAATAACTGAATAAACGCTGGCTCGTGTGGCTCAGTGGATTGAGTGCTAGCCTGTGAACCAAAGGGTCACTGGTTTGATTCCCAGTTGGGGCACATGCCTGGGTTGCAGGCCAGGTCCCCAGTGGGGGCCACGTGAGAGACAACCACACATGGATGTTTCTCTCCCTCTCTTTCTCCCTCCCTGCCCCTCTCTAAAAATAAATAAAATATTAAAAAATAACCAAATAATATATTATGGAAAATGAAGAAAACAAATTGTAGAACATAGACAAACTGAAAGTCTTCACGGCAACCAAAGAAAAAGGATGCATTGCTTTCAAACAAGATGAAAACTTTTCAAGAAAAAAAAACATGGAAATTAGAAAACAATGAATGACATCTGACATCTACAGGGGTGAATGAAATAAAAAAACAACTGCCAGCCTGAAATTTTATGACTTAAGGAAAATAGTCTTCAAAAATGAAAACAAAGCTGTTTTCCAGTGGTTTTCTTTCAAGCTGAAAAAAGTAACAGAACTGAGGCTTAAGAAACACCAGAGTTCTGAGATGACAGAAAATGATACCATGTCCAGACCCAATTCAGGAATGAAGATCAGCACGAAGTAAAATGTCAGTCACTATAAATAAAAATGGACTGTATAGAACAGCCCTGTATAGTTTTACCACTTCCATGTAAGTCTGAACTCTTTCCAAATAAAATGCATTTAAAAACACCCCAAAACTAGAGAGGATGGAAATCACTACAAGGGCTTCCACAGCCTCCCTGCAAAACTAGAGATCCCGGGAGCCCCAGCAAGTTATGCTCACACTCCGCAGCCCACAGCAGGGCTGACCGAAGCGCTGGCAAGGGACCATCAGCCCCCTCGGCATCAGAGAGCAACTGTCATCCCAAACAAATGACGGGTCCGAGCAAGCAAGACCTCCATCCCGACACTAAAGTTCCAGCAAACAAGCAATCCCCAGTCACTTCCAGTTACGAAAATGACAGCAGCCGTACGAGTGATACCGTCTTCTGCTTCTCAACCAGCACCAGAGCGTAAGGAGCCCCAGCCCAGTGACCCACCCAGCAGAAGGGCAGACGCAGAAAGGGACACTTTTAATCCCCCCAACACTAGTTGAAAGGAGCTATGTAGAAATCCCACTAGTCCCCCTGACTGGCAGGAAGTAGAACCCCATGCAATTGCCACACCTCAGTCTTCTCCCCAAATTTGGGACAACAGGACTGCCCACTAGGAACCCCACCCTGTTACCACATCACTTGAAAAATGGGAGCCCCAGGAAGGCCGCAGCCCTCCAGTTCCTCAGCATCAGGGACAACAGGAACCCCAGGCTCATACCCCCCACTTTCCCCCAACAGCACGAGGGCTCCATCAGGTTATGGAAGCTTCAAGTGACCCCCCATATTCCTTCACTATTCAAGATGACGAATATGCCAAAAGCAATTTGCAAACCCCTGTATACTGAAGAGTGGGGCCCAGCAAATGCTACAGCATTCTAACCCAATGCAGTTCTCAACTGGCTCCCGTGACTAGATGAGAGTCCAGGTGACCCTGGTGGACCCGTGTTCCTGGTAGACCCCTGGAGGGGATCCTGGCGATGCCGGTGGGTTCAAGTTTCTTGGAAGAACTCTGGTGTTCCTTGTAGATTTTGGTGTCCCTGGTGGGTTCAAGGGCCCCTGGTGTAACCCGGTGTCATTGGTGATTCCTCATGTTCCTGATGTACCCCTGTGTGCTGGTGGGTCCAATGTCCCTGGAGGACACAAGTGTCCCTGGTGGATACCAGTGTCCCTGAATGATCCAAGTGTCCTTGGAACACCCCAGTGTTACTAAAGGACTGTTGTGCTCCTGGGAGGTGTTGGTGTCCCTGGCGGATCCCCATGTCCATGGAGGGCTCTGGTGTCCCTGGTAGTCCTCAGCATATCCGGTGGAACCATTTGTCCCTGTCAGATCCAGATGTCCCTGGCCGATCCTGATTTTCCTGGTATATTTAAATGTCCCTGGAGGCTACCAGTGTCACTGGTAAATCCAGGAGTTTGGGGCAGCCTGGTGGCCGTGGAAGACCCTGGTGTCCCTAAATAATACAAGTGTCCCTGGAGTTCCCCCAGTGTTCCTGGAGGACTACCGTATCTCCTGGTGGTCCTGGTGTCCCTGTTGGATACCAGGATCTCTGGTGTTTCCAAATACCCCTGGCGAATCCCACTGTTCTTGGTGAATACAGATTCCAGGAGAACCCCAGTGTCCCTGGTGGATCCTGATTTCTCTGGATGATTTAATTGTCCCTGCAAGACATCAGTGTCCCTGAATAATCCATGTGTCCCTGGATTTTCCCCATTGTCCGTGGAGGATTAGAGTGTCCCTTGTAAATCCTGGCGTTGGTGTTAGATACCCAAATGCCTGTTGGGTCCAAGAGTCCTTAGTGGATCCCAGTGTCCCTGGTGAATCCAGGGGTCTCAGGAGAACCTCAGTGTCCCCAGTGGATCACAGTGTCCCTGTTGGGTTCTGTGTCTTTGTGCATCAAACTGTCCCCGGTGGAGCCCAGTGTCTCTGGTTGACACTGGTGTCACTCGTATATTCAAGTGTGTTCAGAGGATCCCAGTGATACTGGTGGATTATGGTGCTTCTGATGGACCTGTGTTCCTAGAGGACCACAGCGAGTTGTCGGACCCTCTTGTCCCTGGTATATTCAAATGTCCCTGGAGGACCACAGTGATTCCGGTGAACACTAGATTCCCTGGTGGTCTCCAGTGGCCCTTGTGGCCCTTGGTGTACCTGGCGATCCAGGTGTCCCTAGAACACTCTAGTGTCCCTAGTGGGCCCCATTGTCTCTGGTGAATCAAGCTGTCCCTGGAAGACTCAGTAACCCTCACAGCATGGTGGCCCTGGATGATCCCAATGTCCCTGGTGAAACCTAATGTCCCTTGTGAATTATTGTGTCCCTCGTTCATCCTAGTGTCTCTGGAAAACACTGATGTCCCTGGTGGATCCAAGTGTTACCTGAGGACCCCAGTGTCCCTGTAGCACCTCAATGTCCATGGAGGAACATGCGTTCCCTGGCACGTTTTGGTGTCTCTCGTGAACCACACTGTACTTTGAGGAACCATGTGTCCCTTCTGCATTTCAATATTTCTGGTGCATCTAAGTGATGGACCCTGGTGTCCCAAGT